AGCATGCGTGTTTTTGTTTGTATGTGTGTTTGTTAGTGTATTGTCTGTGTTTGTGATTGTATCGTGTTTGTGATTGTATTGTGTGTGTTTGTGATTGTATGTGTGTTTGTACACACACACTGATGCTGGTAATCAGTTTTTCTAGACCATCTTCGTGTGTTTTACAACGTATTTCCACCCAGTCGATACCTCGGTGACCATGTTGGGGAGAGTTGGGTATTCTCTGGGGGAATTTCTCCCATGTGTGTGGGGAGATTTATCTTTTATGGGGGTACTACTTGGTACTTCTGGGGATACTACTTGGTACTTCTGGGGATACTACTTGGTACTTCTGGGGGTACTACTTGGTACTTCTGGGGATACTACTTGGTACTTCTGGGGGTACTACTTGGTACTTCTGGGGATACTACTTGGTACTTCTGGGGATACTACTTGGTACTTCTGGTATTTTTGTTCCTTGACGTAACTCCCAGGAGAGTATCAGTCATGTTATAAACACGAAGACACTTCTGTCTTGCCTCGACGGAGCTCCAGGAGGGCGAAACGTGCCCTGAGTATTTATACGGGGGGAATGTTTACATTTTGGTCAGCTGGGTGTGGTACAATACACGAATAATTATCCGGACAGAGGGGAGAGAGTAGCTGATGACGTCTCCGTCAGACTCGGAACGCTTACCAAGCCGTGGTCACCAGGGCTTCAGAGATGTTTCTGTCAGTTAGGTTAGGCAAACGGAGGCAGGTGCTGTTAATGTGGCACTTTGTTGTGGCAACGTTTCACTCTCCAGGAGCTTTGTGAAGTCTGTGGTTGTTAGAGTGGGGGTTTAGTTATACACTGGGCGAGACGTTGTTGTGCTGCCAGGTTCGGTTCTTCACCACCACCAATAGTTACTACTACCAGTACTACGGCTACTACCACCACCACTACAACCACCATCTCCCACCACCACTGCAGTCACAACCACCATCAACAACAATTACTACCACTACAATCACAACTACCATCTACTGCCACCACTACAGTCACAACCACCACCAACAACAAACACTACCACCACAATCACAACCACCACTACTACCACCACCACCAACAACAACAACTTCCACCCCCACAGGACCCCCCCACCACTGACTTTTAACAGGCAATCAGGAGTTTAGGTCTGTCAACACAGTAATAAAGGAACCGAAACACAGAAGCTGGTTGGTTGGCTCTTTCCTCTGGCTTCAGACCGCCGTGTAAACTGTGTAAGATCAGACATACATGTGTCTGGGTTGTGTCTGGGTGTTTCAGGGGTAGATAAGGAAGATAAACAAGTGACTTAGTCTTGAAGACCACACCAGACCTGGTCGTCAAGACCACACCAGACCTGGTCGTCAAGACCACACCAGACCTGGTCGTCAAGATCACACCAGACCTGGTCGTCAAGACCACACCAGACCTGGTCGTCAAGACCACACCAGACCTGGTCAAGACCACACCAGACCTGGTCGTCAAGACCACACCAGACCTGGTCGTCAAGACCACACCAGACCTGGTCGTCAAGACCACACCAGACCTGGTCGTCAAGACCACACCAGACCTGGTCAAGACCCACACCAGACCTGGTCGTCAAGACCACACCAGACCTGGTCATCAAGACCACACCAGACCTGGTCAAGACCACACCAGACCTGGTCGTCAAGACCACACCAGACCTGGTCGTCAAACCACACCAGACCTGGTCGTCAAGACCACACCAGACCTGGTCAAGACCACACCAGACCTGGTCGTCAAGACCACACCAGACCTGGTCATCAAGACCACACCAGACCTGGTCAAGACCACACCAGACCTGGTCATCAAGACCACACCAGACCTGGTCATCAAGACCACACCAGACCTGGTCATCAAGACCACACCAGACATGGTCAAGACCACACCAGACCTGGTCATCAAGACCACACCAGACCTGGTCATCAAGACCACACCAGACCTGGTCAAGACCACACCAGACCTGGTCATCAAGACCACACCAGACCTAGTCAAGACCACACCAGACCTGGCCATCAAGACCACACCAGACCTGGTCAAGACCACACCAGACCTGGTCATCAAGACCACACCATACCTGGTCAAGACCACACCAGACCTGGTCAAGACCACACCAGACCTGGTCGTCAAGACCACACCAGACCTGGTCGTCAAGACCACACCAGACCTGGTCGTCAAGACCACACCAGACCTGGTCGTCAAACCACACCAGACCTGGTCGTCAAGACCACACCAGACCTGGTCAAGACCACACCAGACCTGGTCGTCAAGACCACACCAGACCTGGTCATCAAGACCACACCAGACCTGGTCAAGACCACACCAGACCTGGTCATCAAGACCACACCAGACCTGGTCATCAAGACCACACCAGACCTGGTCATCAAGACCACACCAGACATGGTCAAGACCACACCAGACCTGGTCATCAAGACCACACCAGACCTGGTCATCAAGACCACACCAGACCTGGTCAAGACCACACCAGACCTGGTCATCAAGACCACACCAGACCTAGTCAAGACCACACCAGACCTGGCCATCAAGACCACACCGGACCTGGTCAAGACCACACCAGACCTGGTCATCAAGACCACACCATACCTGGTCAAGACCACACCAGACCTGGTCAAGACCACACCAGACCTGGTCATCAAGACCACACCAGACCTGGTCAAGACCACATCATACCTGGTCAAGACCACACCAGACCTGGTTGTCAAGACCACACCAGACCTGGTCAAGATCACACCAGACCTGGTCATCAAGACCACACCAGACATGGTCAAGACCACACCAGACCTGGTCGTCAAGACCACACCAGACCTGGTCATCAAGACCACACCAGACCTGGTCGTCAAGACCACACCAGACCTGGTCGTCAAGACCACACCAGACCTGGTCATCAAGACCACACCAGACCTGGTCATCAAGACCACACCAGACCTGGTCATCAAGACTACACCAGACCTGGTCATCAAGACCACATTAGACCTGGTAATCAAGACCACATTAGACCTGGTCATCAAGACCACACCAGACCTGGTCATCAAGACTACACCAGACCTGGTCATCAAGACCACATTAGACCTGGTCATCAAGACCACATTAGACCTGGTCATCAAGACCACACCAGACCTGGTCATCAAGACTACACCAGACCTGGTCAAGACCACATTAGACCTGGTCATCAAGACCACACCAGACCTGGTCATCAAGACCACACCAGACCTGCTCATTAATACTACACCAGACCTGGTCATCAAGACCACATTAGACCTGGTCATCAAGACCACATTAGACCTGGTTATCAAGACCACACCAGACCTGGTCATCAAGACCACATTAGACCTGGTCATCAAGACCACACCAGACCTGGTCATCAAGACTACACCAGACCTGGTCAAGACCACATTAGACCTGGTCATCAAGACCACACCAGACCTGGTCATCAAGACCACACCAGACCTGGTCATCAATACTACACCAGACCTGTTCATCAAGACCACATTAGACCTGGTCATCAAGACCACATTAGACCTGGTCATCAAGACCACACCAGACCTGGTCATCAAGACCACATTAGACCTGGTCATCAAGACCACACCAGACCTGGTCATCAAGACTACACCAGACCTGGTCAAGACCACATTAGACCTGGTCATCAAGACCACACCAGACCTGGTCATCAAGACCACACCAGACCTGGTCATCAATACTACACCAGACCTGGTCATCAAGACCACACCAGACCTGGTCATCAAGACAACACCAGACCTGGTCATCAAGACCACACCAGACCTGGTCATCAAGACCACAGCAGACCTGGTCATCAAGACTACACCAGACCTGGTCATCAAGACCACATTAGACCTGATCATCAAAACCACACCAGACCTGGTCATCAAGACCACATTAGACCTGGTCATCAAGACCACATTAGACCTGGTCATCAAGACCACAAGATGGATGGTTAACCGGGCTTTAAAACCTATCGACTAAATATGGGGAGTCATTAAGGTTGCGTGTTATCTGTTCACCACCAGTCAACAGTACTTTATTATCACAGAGACATATATCTCTCAGTGTATATATCCTCAGTGTCTGATTAAGACGTGAAGAGATAGATTTTGAGACAGTTTGTATGAGCAAGAGATAGTGATTTTTTTTAGAATTGCGAGACACACACATATCGGGGCCAGGAGCTATGAATCGACCCCTGCAACCAAATGTAGGTGAGTACACACACACACACACACACACACACACACACACACACACACACACACACACACACACACACACACACACACACACACACACACACATACCTTTGCTTGCGTGGTTTTCTCTCTGGATCCTATATAATTTTATTAATAGATTCTAATCCTTTACAAGTCACATTCTTTACTGACTCTATGAAGAGAGAGAGAGAGAAAATCCCGTAGCTCGATTGGTAGCGCACTCAGCGCACACACTGAGGTCTGTAGTTCGATCCCCTGTACGGGTGGAAACATTAGGACGTGTTTCCTTAAGACACCTGCTGTCCATGTTCACCCATCAGTAAAATACGTACCTGAGTGTTAGTGGACTGATGTGGGTCGCATCCTGGGACAAAACTGACCTAATTTGTGGGAAATGCTCAGCATAACAAGCGGCTTTCAATGTAGTAGTATGTTACTGATGTCAGCTATGGTCTGTATAAGTTGTACTTGTAGAAATAAAGATGTTATTATTATTATTATTATTATTATTATTATTATTATTATTATCTGTTTTACCAGTCGTAAATTAAAACACTCTGAACAACAGAAGAATAAGCAACATATCAGAAAATAAAATAAACACAACATAAACCAAGATAAAACATTAATAAAAGAGAAGAAATGGAAGAGGATGATTTATTTTCCACTCCCTCCTAGGAAAATGTATTTTGTCATTGAGAATAAATTACGACAATACTTTGCACAAGAAGACGACAACTCAAGCGTCGTGGAGGAGCTGTGGCCTGCCAGACGCACGAGACGACAGCTCAAGCGTCATGGAGGAGCTCTGGGCTGCCAGATGCACGAGACGACAACTCAAGCGTCGTGGAGGAGCTGTGGCTGCCAGACGCACGAGATGACAACTCAAGCGTCGTGGAGGAGCTGTGGCCTGCCAGACGCACGAGACGACAACTCAAGCGTCGTGGAGGAGCTGTGGCCTGCCAGACGCACGAGATGCCAACTCAAGCGTCGTGGAGGAGCTGTGGCCTGCCAGACGCACGAGACGACAACTCAAGCGTCGTGGAGGAGCTGTGGCCTGCCAGACGCACGAGATGCCAACTCAAGCGTCGTGGAGGAGCTGTGGCCTGCCAGACGCACGAGACGACAACTCAAGCGTCGTGGAGGAGCTGTGGCCTGCCAGACGCACGAGATGCCAACTCAAGCGTCGTGGAGGAGCTGTGGCCTGCCAGACGCACGAGATGCCAACTCAAGCGTCGTGGAGGAGTTGTGGCCTGCCAGACGCACGAGATGACAACTCAAGCGTCGTGGAGGAGCTGTGGCCTGCCAGACGCACGAGATGACAACTCAAGCGTCGTGGAGGAGCTGTGGCCTGCCAGACGCACGAGACGACAACTCAAGCGTCGTGGAGGAGCTGTGGCGTGCCAGACGCACGAGATGACAACTCAAGCGTCATGGAGGAGCTCTGGGCTATCAGACGCACGAGATGACAACTCAAGCATCGTTGAGGAGTTGTGGCCTGCCAGACGCACGAGATGACAACTCAAGCGTCGTGGAAGAGTTGTGGCCTGCCAGACGCACGAGATGACAACTCAAGCGTCGTGGAGGAGTTGTGGCCTGCCAGACGCACGAGATGCCAACTCAAGCGTCGTTGAGTTGTGGCCTGCCAGACACACGAGATGACAACTCAAGCGTCGTGGAGGAGTTGTGGCCTGCCAGACGCACGAGATGACAACTCAAGCGTCGTGGAAGATTTGTGGCCTGCCAGACGCACGAGATGACAACTCAAGCGTCGTTGAGTTGTGGCCTGCCAGACACACGAGATGACAACTCAAGCGTCGTGGAGGAGTTGTGGCCTGCCAGACGCACGAGATGCCAACTCAAGCGTCGTGGAGGAGCTGTGGCCTGCCAGACGCACGAGATAACAACTCAAGCGTCGTGGAGGAGCTGTGGCCTGCCAGACGCACGAGATGACAACTCAAGCGTCGTGGAGGAGCTGTGGCCTGCCAGACGCACGAGATGCCAACTCAAGCGTCGTGGAGGAGCTGTGGCCTGCCAGACGCACGAGATAACAACTCAAGCGTCGTGGAGGAGCTGTGGCCTGCCAGACGCACGAGATGACAACTCAAGCGTCGTGGAGGAGCTGTGGCCTGCCAGACGCACGAGATGACAACTCAAGCGTCGTGGAGGAGTTGTGGCCTGCCAGACGCACGAAGTGACAACTCAAGCGTCGTGGAGGAGTTGTGGCCTACCAGACGCACGAGATGACAACTCAAGCGTCGTGGAGGAGTTGTGGCCTGCCAGACGCACGAGACGACAACTCAAGCGTCGTGGAGGAGCTCTGGGCTGCCAGACGCACGATGATTTAAAAAATCCACCTTCCATTACTGATATTCCTTTGGTAGATTGGCAGATTTATGAAGGTGGTAATATCAAACGGTGGTAATACCAGAGGGTGGTAGTATCAGGGGGCGGTAATATCAGAGGGTGGTAATATCAGAGGGTGGTAATATCAGAGGGTGGTAATATCAGAGGGTGGTAATATCAAGGGGTGGTAATACCAGAGGGTGGTAATATCAGAGGGTTTTAATACCAGAGGGTGGTAATAATAAGGGGGTGGTAATACCAGAGGGTGGTAATGCCAGAGGGTGGTAATACCAGAGGGTGATAATACCAGAGGGTGATAATACCAGAGGGTGATAATACCAGAGGGTGATAATACCAGAGGGTGGTAATATCAGAGGGTGGTAATATCAAGGGGTAGTAATACCAGAGGGTGGTAATATCAGAGGGTTTTAATACCAGAGGGTGGTAATACCAGAGGGTGGTAATAATAAGGGGGTGGTAATACCAGAGGGTGGTAATGCCAGAGGGTGGTAATACCAGAGGGTGATAATACCAGAGGGTGATAATACCAGAGGGTGATAATACCAGAGGGTGATAATACCAGAGGGTGGTAATATCAGAGGGTGGTAATATCAGAGGGTGTGACTGGAATACAAATGGTCTACTGTAACACAAGACCTTAGACGTGTCATAATTAATGACTCCTTATTTTGTGTCTACCAGAAGACAAGGAAACATATTTACCATCATTCATCCAGCACCTGTGGTGCTGGAAAAAAGCGGACATCACACTGGTGGTGGAGTTTACATCCTGCAGACTACAGGAGGATCAAGAAGACATCCTGTAGACTACAAGACTACACTGGAGATAGGGTATAAATCATGTAGGCTATAGGAGGGTCA